TTGTGTTTTGGCGAGAGGCGGAGGCGCTAATCCCGGCGCAGCTGATGCCGGCTCCCGGGCGAGCCTGTGCGGGCTGTGCGAGCCGTGTGCGGGGTGTGAGTGTGCGCCCTGTGTCTGTGCGTGCCGTGCGGGTGTGTGTGCCGTGCGGGTGTGAGTGTGCGCCCTGGTCTGTGCGTGCCGTGCGGGTGTGTGTCCGTGCGTGCCGTGCGGGTGTGTGTCTGTGTCCGTGCGTGCCGTGCGGGTCCGTGTGAGTGCGATCCCGACGCCCGGGCTGGTCTCCGCATCCAATCGCACCGCCCTCCCGCCCGGCCCCGGCTGCGAGCAGGAGGGAGGCAAAGCCAGGGGAAACCACCCGAAGGGAAGCAAACACACACTCACAGACACACACATACACACACACACACACACACACACACACAGAGGCAGAGGGAGACCTGGCTCTGGAAATGCAATCACCCGCACTGACTGCGTCCCCGAGGGCAGCTGGGGAGCGGGGCGGTGGGATGTTCCCCTTCCCGCTGCCACCCAGCCTCGTCCAAAGGCAGGAAAGTAACGGGATTGCAATAAAACAAAAATCACGAGTCAAACCACACTCAGCCCTCTCCCCTGGAAAATCGCATGGCCGGGCTGGACGCGGAGCACAGCCCGTGTGGGCAGGTGAAGGGATGCTGGTGGGGCTGCGCTGGGGTTCGTCCCACCTCAGCGGCACTCTGCTCCTCCTGTCCCCCTCCAACCCGGCCAGGGCTGGCAGCGGTGGCCCCAGCAGCCAAAGCCCCTGGGACAGGACACGCACCATGCCCCGGAGAAAGGAGAAGTCCCCCTTCAAGCACATAATGACTCTCTTGTGAGCTTTGTGAGAGCAGGCAGGGAAATCCCACACGTCCCTGCTCTCCCACCACAGCTGGGCATGGGGAAGTGTTCTCTGCTGTGCTGAAAGCATTTCACACACCTCCTTTGCCTTTGCTGCTTTTCACCATCAGAAGGACAGAAAGGTCTCAGCCCCCCTGCCAGTGCCACAGCATCAGACGTGACCCCATCGGACACGTAACGCTGTCCCCACGGAAATACACTTTGCAATACGAAAGGTGCCTTACCTCACACATCTGGGGAGGAAACACGGGAGGTGGAAGAGAAGCCTCCTTGCATTTTCACGGTTCATAAGTACTTTGGGCCACAATAATGACTTTGTTTCTAACCTGAAGAAAGGAAATAAGCAAATTACCTTACAAGTAGTATATGGGGCTTAGCACACATTATTTGCAACATGAGGCATTCCTGTTTTCAATGGGATACAGAAAGTGTATCATTATCAAGCACTAAATAGAACACTAAAATACATCATGTATCAGAGGGTGAACTTGCCTTTCCAATTCCACTGAATTTGGGATTGGTAACAGATACTGTTTTGCAATTTTAAAGAGCCCATCTATAACAACAAGAGGCAAGTGCTTACTGGCAGGCAGGAAGGAAAGAGAAAATTTTCAAAAGCAGAGTAACGATTTTTATATGCTTCCATATTTGAGTGCTCAAATACAACCCACGACAGTGTCTCACTTTCAGACAGTTTTGAAGCATTGAATTTGCCAAATACATCTAAAGATATTATCCATATATGTACAAACACACACAATTTAAGCATTAATTGCCAATAGTAAGATTAATTATACCTTTCAATTCTCTATGTAAGAAACTTACGTTAGTGCAATATAACACCAGTACAAGTGAATACACATAATTAAAACATTAAGGTGTTATGAAGTTTTGCGACACAAACAATAAAACCAATGCCAATCTCTGTAGAAAGATAACAAAATGATTCGGACTGAGAGCTAAAAAATTCATCACAAGCAGCAATCTGTGGCCTATATCCATAGCAGAACTGTCAATCCCAAAGAAGAATCTTTAGGCAACTGAAATATTGGAATTGCCATTTCAACTTCAGTCATGTTATTTTCTACTGGTGAGAGATGTGATTTTTGTAAAACAAAACCAACACCACACCACAACTCTTTAAATAAAACAAGCATAACTGAATCCTCTTTTAAACCTACAGCACCAAATAACTGGCCATAAGAATGTGATGTTTTACATATCCAATACATCTTCCAAACTGCAGCCTGACTCTTGAGATCAGACCACCGTAAATCAAGAATGACTTCAGTAAAAAACCCCCAGAAACTCAGAGACAGCACGTATCTAACACCATACTCAAGCAAAGGAGCATTAGACAAGAACTGCCTTAAGTTCAGCATGGAAGCTCAAGCACCCTATTGCTGAGTTTTTATTTAAAATCTTTTAAGTGTTAGCAGAAAGCTCTGTTTATGCAAAAATAATTCAGAATTTGGCTTCCAGTGCCTTGCCCCACCACTTGACTGCGGTTGTTTAAGTTAAGTGTCTAAAATAGAAAGTTAGCCCTATACAATCCTATTGCAGCCAGCGAGGAGAGAGAGAGGACATTTGGAGTGAGGCAGAAAAGAAAAAGTGACTTCTCAGAGCATTAGCTGCCTTCTCTGAATGCTTCTTTTTAGACAGCTGTTGCAGGTTTTTGAGAGCGCTGCAGAACAGCACATGGGGTTTGAAATACCCTTTGCTGTACAGATCCTCCCTGTGACATGGTGGGACGCTCATTACACACAGTCCTGTTGCTCCCAAAGTTAAAAAATATCCCTAGCTCAAACCGGGCACGAGATTTTTAAATGCCAGAGCACTGTGACTGCACAAACCAAACTAAACCAGTACACATTAGGAGTTACTCCTCATTAGTAAATATCAGCCAGCAAACTCTCAGACCTGACTTCAGAGATAACAGCACTTTTCCAATTCTCCATTCTTTCTTTTTCATTTCTTCTGCAAATCGCTAGCAAGTTCAGCATTGTTCAGAGAACAAAACTTTGACTGTGTCCCACAGAGCTTACAGTTTAATCCCACCGGTTCCAGGAGAGTCACACTGATTTCCAAGAGAAGAAAGAGGCCCCCTGAAGCCGTAAATGTACCTGTATTGGTAGCGTGGGCAATGGCAAAGCTGCGTTCCTGGCCTTGGGAGAGGGGCATGGGGCTTCCACTATAAATATCACGGAGGTAGAGGCACTCACAGCCTCACCCTCAAAACCATGGTTCCGACTGAGCCTTTTTAACTGCAAGGATCAGTGAGTGCCACTGAAACCACCCCTTCCTCTTACAGATGCAGCATTTCCAACCAGGAGGCACGCTCTGCTTATTGGCTTTTGGTTAAAGAATCCGAAATATCAAATTCAATGGGTTATTTAGATAATGGCCAGACTCCAGCCGCTTCTACAACCCTATAATAATGTGTTTGCAAATAGCATTTATGGGACAGGAAGGGAAGTGGAAGGAAGTAATTCCCAAGTGGACAGGGACAGCTATGTAGCAGTAAGAGGAGATGCTCATCCAGTGCAGATTGTCTGAACACCCAAGTGAAAGGACCGTGACACCAGTATTGCCACACACAGTGAATTATGCTGCTGCCTGAAAAATCTCAGTGGGAAAAAGAGGGAAAAGTACCCAGAACCAGTTAAAATAGATCAAGAACGTTAAGAATGAGACATTGATTTCCATTTAATCTTTCTCTGAATTCTCCATTAATGAGTGACAGCTCAATGACTTGTTATCACTGCACTTTTTTGCGTGGGGATACCCAAATACACATGACCTCGCTTTGCATCCTTCACTGATGGACCACTCCTATCTTATGGCAAGACAGGCCCCAAGTCAGGATTAGCTTGCTGGGGGGCTCTGGTAGGAGGGAAGGGGGCTTCCCACATCCATCCCCAAGCAGGATGCAGGCAGCAGGTACCTTTGGGTACCTCCCAAAGCAGACAGGAGCTCCCCTCCCTGTGGGTCATCCTCCAACTCTTCACGTTGCTCTCATGGGGCAACAAGGGGCAGATGACACTAAAGAATCTGCCCTTGTTCTGGTCTTCAGTGACTGCACAGCAGATGAGATATTCCTGTCCCCATGAAACCCAGCAGGATGGTTTAACACTCATATCACTACGAGCAGAGTCCAAGCTTGCAATTCCATCCTGCTTCCTCATGCATGCTAAAATTACTCCATAATTCCACTGATAATAAGTATCAGGCTTACCATGCAGCACTTCTGCAATGTACTATGCAAAATCAGAACTTACCTGGAACTGGAAGGACTATCTCTCATTTGGGGATGGTCTAATCTTCATGACCCCTCTTTTCTGAAAGCTTTCTGCTGCAACTGACCAACAAGAAACCAGCTAATCCCAGCTGTCACAGTCATTTTTCTGGAATGGCTGCCTCAGAACTGGGAACTGTCCCAGTATTACTGATGGAGAAAGCTTTACTGGTTCTGGCAGGACAATGCACACCCAGTAAGTGTGCTACAGACACAAGCTTGGACAGTGAAGCTGCACTGAAAAGACCCAGCCTACTTCCACACCCTCAGCTCTCACTATTCCCTGAAGTGACTGTGAAACGTGCAGTCTACCAGTCCTGATCTAGCAAGTGAACCAAGTTTTGGCAGGAAAAAGCTGTGTTTAATTGAAACTAAGCAGCTCAAAATCCATGAGGGTGAAGCACATATTGAATGCATGCTCAGCACTCTGCAGAAAATATTCCTGCACATGGGAAATACACAAGTACCACCAGTTTTCAGTGCAAGTCAAGGCACTACTTAAGCAGAGTAAGTTTTTTTCCCAGAGCTCCTCTGGACTACTACAGCAGAAGAGCAAGGAGTCAG